GGTCATGTCAGGACATTCTCTAGTTGGACACACAGGCTCACAGAACTGCACAACATGACATGTCACACACTTGTTTTTCTCTAAAAGTATCATCCGATGTTTGTATAAGGAGAACTTTGGACTATGGGGAGACTGTTATCATTTCCAGTAAGGTCTAACTGTGTGATGTCATCATGGGTTATATAAGGATGGGGAGCTGTCCACTCTTTGGAGAATCTGTTGCAAGTTTTCTTCCCACACTTCTGCGCAGAGTGTGTAATTAAAGATCACTATTTTGACGCCTCCCTGGACTCAGCCTGCTTTCTTCTCTTACCCAAATCGAACGAATCTTAACAATTGGCAGACCGGGGTGGTGGTCCCCATCTTTAGGAAAGGGGACTGGAGGGTGTGTTCCAACTGCAGGGGAATCATACTCCACTGCCTCCCTGGGAAAGTCTATGCCAGGGTGCTGGAGAGGAAAGTCTGTCCATTAGTCGAACCTCGGATACAGGAGGAACAACGCGGTTTTCGTCCTGGTCGTGGAACACTGGACCAGCTCTTTATCCTCTCAAGAGCTTGAGGATGCATGGGAGTTTGCCCAAACAGTCCACATGTATTTTGTGGACTTGGAGAAGGCATTCGACCGTGTCCCTTGGGGGGTGCTCTGGGAGTATGGAGTGTCTGGCCCATTGCTACGGGCCATTCAGTCCTTATACGACCGTTGCAAGAGCTTGGTTCGCATTGCCGGCAATAAGTCGGACTCGTTCCCGGTGGGTGATGGGCTCCGCCAGGGCTGCCCTTTGTCACTGATTCTGTTCATAATTTTTATGGACAGAATTTCTAGGCGCAGCCAAGTGGCGGAGGGCTTTCACTTCGGTGGCCTCAGAATCTTATCTCTGCTTTTTGCAGATGATGTGGTTCTGTTGACTTCATCGGGTGAGGGCCTCCAGCTCCCACTGGAATGGTTCACAGCCGAGTGTGAAGCAGCGGGAATGAGGATCAGCACCTCCAAATCGGAGGCCATGGTTCTCAGATTTGGAGGGTGGAGTGCCCACTCCGGGTCAGGGACAAGTTCCTGCCCCAAGTGGAGGAGTTTAAGTATCTTGGGGTCTTGTTCACGAGTGACAGGAGAAGGGAGCCGGAGATCGACAGACAGATTGGGGCTGCAGCTGCAATAATGCAGACGCTGCACCGGTCTGTTGTGGTGAAGAGAGAGCTGAGTGTTAAAGCGAAGCTCTCAATTTACCGGTCGCTCTACGTCCCTACCCTCATCTATGATCACGAGCTGTGGGTAGTGACCGAAAGAACGAGATCGCGGATACAAGCGGCAGAAATGAGCTTCCTCCGAAGGGTGGCTGGCCTCTCAATTAGAGATAGGGTGAGAAGTTCGGCCATCCGGGAGGGGCTCAGAGTAGAGCTGCTGCTGCTCCACATTGAAAGGAGCCAGCTGAGGTGGTTCGGGCATCTGACAAGGATGCCTCCTGGACATGCTGGAGAGATTATATCTCTCGGTTGGCCTGGAAATGCCTTGGTGTTCCCCCAGACAAGCTGGAGGGGAGATGGAGGTCTGGGCTTCTCTGCTTAGGCTGCTGCCCCCACGACCCGGCCCGGATAAGCGGAAGAAGATGGATGGATGTTAACGGCGTTAGTAATGCCATTACTTTTAAGGAATGCCTTAAAGACATAAAGACCTGGATGGCCGCTAACTTTCTGCTTCTTAATTCAGATCAAACTGAGGTTATTGTACTCGGCCCTGAAAATCTTAGAAATATGGTATCTAAGCAGATTCTTACTCTGGATGGCATTACCTTGGCCTCCAGTAACGCTGTGAGGAACCTTGGAGTCATTGTTGACCAGGACATGTCCTTCAATGCACATATTAAACAAATATGTAAGACTGCTTTCTTCCATTTGTGCAACATCTCTAAAGTTAGAAATATCCTGTCTCAGAGTGATGCTGAAAAACTAGTTCATGCATTTATTACTTCCAGGCTGGACGACTGTAATTCATTATTATCAGGAAGTCCTAAAAACTCCCTGAAAAGCCTTCAGCTAATCCAAAATGCTGCAGCAAGAGTCCTGACAGGGACTAGAAAGAGAGAGCAGATTTCTCCTGTTTTGGCTTCCTGTTAAATCCAGAATTGAATTCAAAATGCTGCTCCTCACATACAAGGTCTTAAATAATCAGGCCCCATCTTATCTTAATGACCTTGTAGTACCATATCACCCTATTAGAGCGCTTCGCTCTCGCTCTGCAGGCCTACTTGTTGTTCCTAGAGTATTTAAAAGTAGAATGGGAGGCAGAGCCTTCAGTTTTCAGGCCCCTCTTCTGTGGACTCTGTAGCATTGACCTCGAACAGATTTTATGTGGTACACAGCGCTCAAAAATCTGTCAAAAAATGTTTTACTACGACTTTAGTAGCTACGAAGCCGCAGCGCTTGATGGGTTGTTGGAACATTACGGCTGGCGTAGTCAGGAGCCTCACGGAGGAATCTGGGTCCAAAACTCCGTCAGCTTCAGGTCCCAAAGTCAAACGAACACTGCAGCATCACTGAGAGTTGAAAAACTGTCTACATTATTTCATCTTTAATAAAATGATCAGCGTTGCTGCTTTACCAGGTGTAACACTTAAGTTTAACGTCCAGGCATCCATGAAAACAGAATTTATGAAATTTAATGGAGTCAGAAGTTAGCAGGAAGTTAGCTCGCTAGCTTCCACCTAAACATGATATAGCATGTTCTGACTGAGAGATTTCTGAAAAAATTCAAACGTACAGCTCTGCTATCACTTCCAACATAAATGAAGACAGAAAACTAAACAGCAGTGACGTTTGTAAGGTTACTAAAGTTGGGCTAGCTGGTATATAATGATGTGCTGGAGGATGAACGCTAACTTTTTTCCACTCAATAAAAGTTAACATGAGGGTTCCTGATGGTTAGAGACAAATGCAATCGCATGGCAGGATGCTGTAAATGGACCAAACTTCAGTCAGGAGAACAACTGAGATAATCCATCCACAACACGAGGTCAGTCATTAATATACTGCAACGACATGGGAATAGAGCAGCTGCCAGAGAATTCAACATTAATGAATCAATGGTACAGAAGTGGAAGAAGCGCAGTTTTTGGCTTCCCTCATATTCCAAAATGTGCTTTGTCTCTTCGCTATTACTGTCGCCCGGCATAGTATGCAGATGATATTGCTTGCAGCCGTTGCGATGCTTTCGACCAAAAACAGGCGCAGCTTGATGACACCATCAACATCGCTATCACGGGAGAGTGGTATAGTCAAAATCTCTACCGTTGGCCAAATTCATATCGTTTCTACTATGTACCATTTATCCCGCCCACCCCTAGTTTGTGCTTCACTGCAGGTTTGCCTGAGGACTGCAGGCAAACCTTTTTTTCTTTGTTAGACCTTTCATATGCTGGGATATGCAGGGGTTTTCAACATCTGCTCAGTCAGTACAGTGCAAACTGACTATCTGATCAGAACGCAGAGCCACAACCGTAGACTGATTACTTTTACAAATAAAATTATTTTTGTGGGTTTTGTGGATTTGTCACTGGCATGGTGGTGCAGTGGTCAGCACTGTTGCCTCATTTCAAGAAGCTTGTTCTTCAGAGCGTTGCTGATTCCTTCCACAGACCAAAAGCATGCATGTGACCATAAACTGTGTGGTGTAGTGCTCATCGTTCTCTCTGTGTTAGCTCTGTGGTGGACTGGCGACATGTCCAGGCAGTTTGATCAAAGGTTAGTGGATGGGATTCATCAGGAGCAAGTGAAGGTTTTATCCTTAAAGCTGATGTGGCCAAAGCAGGAAAAATGGGCAAGTGTGAGGATTTTTTTTTACAAAACGCCAAAACTATGATGGGTACTGGATCGGAGCTTCTCCACAGCTGCTGCTCCTGTGTGGTGTTCCCAGTGTGGAGGACTCAATATCTATCAGAAGTGGTCCACAAAGGAGTAGTGGTGAACCAGCGACAGGGTCATGGGCAGCCAAGGCTCACCTTTGTGCTGGTTCTGATAGAAAGGTGTCAGAGCCACAGAGCATCACAGCCTGATGTGTGGGGCTGCACAGCCACAGACCAGTCAAGGTGCTCATGCTGATCCCCGTCCAAGCACCAACAATGGGCACCTGAGCATCAGAACTGGACCACGCACCAATGTAAGAAGGCGTCCTGGTGTGATGAATCATGTTTCACAGGTGTGTTGCTCACCTGGGAAACACCAGGTAAGGGAAGAGGCGGTGTGATGTAATGTTCTGCTGGGAAACTTTGGGTTCTCCCATACATGTGGCCGTTGCTATAACACGTACCACCTACCTAGGCATTGTTGCAGACCATCTACACCCTTTCATGGAAATGGTACTCCCTGATGGCTGTGGCCTCTTTCAGCAGGATAACGGATCAGGAATAGTTTGAGGAGCACAGCAATGAGTTCATTCCAATCGAGCATCTGTGGGATGTGCTAGACCAGGGGTGTCCAACTCCAGGCCTCGAGGGCCGGTGTCCTGCAGGTTTTAGATGTGTCCTTGATCCAACACAGCTGATTTAAATGGATAAAAAACCTACTCAACATGTCTTGTAGTTCTCCAGAGGCCTGGTAACGAGCTAATGTCATTTTAAATCTTTGTCACTTCAGAGCTGCCTCGTTTGTTGTTTCCCCTGGACTTCCTTTTATTCCTTGAAACCGTGTTTGAGGATGTTTTCACGCTGCTCTGTTTAACCTGTCTGTGCTTTTTTCACATCTCTTTACTTTGTCATTCGGAGTAAATATAGACAGATGCCTTCGTTTTTATTAGTATTAAGCTTTTACTCTGTCGTTGGTCATGAGAAATCCTGCACGTGTTGTTTCTTTTCTTTAATTTTCTAAGACTAAAAAAATATTAGTGTCAATATTTTTTTGTTAAGGAGGTTTCATGTTTTTCTGTTTCTGTACTGAAAGCGAAAGCTGTGGATGGATCCAGAGACAGGATGCTGGACAGGTCCAGATAGGCAGAGTGAGGAGAGAGAGCGTTGGAACAGGGACTTCCCTGAGCCTCCATCATCTGCAGGGAGGGAAAAACACTCACACACACACTGCCTCCCACACACACACACGCACACTCTGCTGAGAGCTAGCAAGGGGCTTTAAACAGCTTCACACATAACCGAGACAAAGGGACTGTAACCTGCCACAATGGAAGAAAACATGGATGAATCGCAAAGCCAGAAAGGTAGGAAAGGACGAGCCATCGATTCCTTTTTATCTTCCGTCACTCGTTCCTTTATGCCATTGTTCTGTTCATCCTTCCCTCCCTGTATCATGGGATTCCTTTGTGTGTTGTGGGCAGAGAGAAGGAGGACGGCATACACGTCCTGGAGGGAAAAAAGGGGAAAAGAAGCTTAGACTTTAGGCTGTATATTTAATTTGCAACTTTTCTCAGCACGGTTCACATTCCCCGTTTTCCCCATCAGTCATCTCGGCAGAAATGGAAAGAGGCTGTGGATTGTAATGGAGCCTCCTCAGGAGGCTGTCTGCTCCGGATAAAAACACGGGATCGTACACGAGCCGTGTGCGTCCATGAACGGGAGCTTAAATACGCAGATTGTTTGGGCTGAGGGTGCATGGAAACGACAGACACCGGAGGCTTGGTGTTGTTTTGGAGGCTGGACGGACAGATGGACGGACAGATGGATGGATGCATGGATGGATGGATGGATGAATGGATGGAGGTGGGAGTGGCTGGGGGAGGAAAAGGGGAAGAAGAGGGTGATAGAAGGAGGGTGCGTGGGGCAAAACCTTGGAATAAATACTAAAAATCAGAGGGAGGAGGGATAAGTGGGGCAGTGATTGATGCCTCCATTGGGATTTTCTTTGTTAGCCCTCATTGTTGATGCTTCACGCTTGTCTGAACGCCTTTTCCTCTCCACTCTCCCTCGCTCTCTGCACCCCCCCCCCCCCCCTTTTCCGTCTGTGTCGCTCCCTTTCCCTCCATTTTCTTCATATCTCTCCATCTCTGGCCCTTACCCCTCTTTCCTTCACCCGTTCAGCCTTGGTGTATTCCAGGCTGGATTTTTTCCATCTTTCTGTCTGTATCTTGTTTGCCCGTCTACCTGTTTCTGTCTCTCTCTCTAGAAGAGGATATTTTGGCTGATCTCCCACTCGCCACCATCTCACTCTCTCGGTTGACTCCCTCTCGCTCCTTCATTCCCGTTTTTCTTCCGCCGTCCATTTTTCAAATTCTATTTCTGATCTGAATCTTTCCACATGCCTCTGACCGCCTCGGGGTGGTTTGCAGAGAGTGTTATTTTGCATTTTCCCCCCCAAATGATTCTTGTTGTTGTTGATGTTGGCAGTAAAAATGGGCGTGTCCATTTTCTTCATCACACCTTCAGAGCCAAATGAGACATCTACTGCTGCTTGCAGAGATTCACAAATACAACCAATAAAGGAGGCGGTTTTGATTAAAAAAAAATAGAAATATTTATATACAAGGCCAAATGAATGTTTATTCTCGCTGTATCTATGGAAACACCATCCTGACATCGTCTTCTGTTGTGTGATAGGCGCATTTGTGTGTTTTTTCTGGAAGCAACCTGTTTTAGCCAATCAGAGATGCGGGTGGTGTTCAAGCAAACATGATTTTTCATTCCTGTCACTTCTCTTTTTTTTAAGCCTCACCCCCTCTCCTTCTGTCCATTCTCTAACTAGTTCCCATCCTACATCCGTGTCACACTCCCTCTTCGTCCCTGTCTTTAGTTCAGCCATTACAGGCCTCATCTCTTCCCCTGCACCACACAAAACACAGGTGTGAGATGAAACAAGGCAGCACAGGTGAGAGACACAGAGCGGCTGTATAAGTACGACGTAGAGTTGTTTTCAAAGGAATCGATTTACTTTTACATCAGTGGTGTTTCAATAAAGGTTCAAATGGATTTGATTGCAGATATGTGGCTGAAGGGTGCATTAAATATAATCTCCAATAATTCTACCATAGTTCACTTTTAACAGGACCAAAAACTGTCATATATGTTAATGTGAAATGGAGTCATGTCACACGAGTGGAATAAAAAGTCTTTACAGTGAAGGTTCTGAAATTTGTGACTTTGCCAACGTTGGTGTTTGCAGGGATGGTGTTTAGTTAAAATTCCGGTTCTCCGTCATCCAGAGACGGATTTAATATTTCGTATCAGAACAAAAGTCTCACAGATCCGAAGGTGCGTTTGGATTCAGCATTTTGTTTGATTTCATTCCTGTTCTCATCATAGACTGTATCCAAACACTCGACTCTCATTCAGACATGAAAAGGTGGCCTTTGTAATAAACTTGTAATCTTTCCGACGACCAGCAGGGGGCGACTCCTCTGGCTGCAGAAACAGTCTTATTGTGTAGAAGTCTTACTTATTGAAGGAAAGCTCATCATGACCACAGACTCCTCAGGTTGTTCTTGTAAATCGTCTGTGCTTGTCCATCAGCTGTTAGCACGAACGTGCTGCTTTCAGGCTCAAAGGAAACTATTAAGCTTGACAATAATAACTCAGTGTAGTAAAAACCAATCTTTAAACAGCTGTTCCAACTCCTTTCTCTTTCTGGGGTTATATTAATGGGCATTTGTCTACGAAATCCCTTCATCATCTTATATAAGCACTTCCTGCTGTGGTAACCGACCCCAGATTCTCCACAGAGTTAATTAAAGTTTCATGTATTCTAACCTGAAAGTCTGAAAGCGTAGCAGCAACACTCTGAAAGGTTTTGATCATTTTCCCTTCCTGCTGAGGACCGATTTTAGAGACTTGCTGGTTTAATTGAAAATCTCTGGTTCATTAAACACGTCTCAGGCTGTTTGTTTGCTCACGTGCACCTCTGGGAGCAGCTGGATAGCTCAGGTCATTTAGAGCTCTACTGCATGCCTCAGTCCTTTATTTGGCTCGGTTAAAACGGTGACTGCTCATGTTACAATAGTAATAGTACAATAGTTTGGAGAAGTGGCCGACGATTGTGTGACATGAAGTCGTCTGGGTAGAAGACTTTTTCAAGCTGATAATGATGCACCTGGAAGGACCTGTGAGCAGTTAATGGTAGCTGCACGGCACAAACGCGTCCGGAGGTCCAGTTCAGGCAGACGGCTAGCAGCTACAGCCGCCTGTGTCACCACCCACCTGTCAGTCAACTAAGCCGTGCCTCTAATTGTGCATGCAGTCATGCAGGCAGTAAATATGTTTATTTCTTAATGCTGCAGCCTCTAGTGGATGTTAGAGGAACTGTAGGCTTTGGTGCGCCTGTGTTCGCTTAGTTTTTCTGTCCTGTAAGCCGACGTTTGATGGAACGCTGCCGACACCGTCCAGAGGTTCTCACAAAAACTCAAATGCAGTCACGCTCAGTGAGCATGGCAGATCAATGGCAGAAATACGTATTAATCATACTTTCACATTTATGGCACCTCGACTTAGTGTCATATTTTTGCATCATCCGTTTATTTGTGTAATACAACTCTGACAATGTTGTAAACAGGGGGATGTCACTGTGTCTTCACAATGACACTTGAACAGTCTCCGTCATCGATCAGCTGAGCTCGTTCTTTGACACACATCCAGTCCCAGCTGAGGTTAGGTGCAGATCCCTGTGTCCTCAGTAGGTGTGAGTGCAGGTTGTACACGTGATGCTTTCATGTCAACATTTTAAGTATCTCTCTAAGAAAACAGAAAATCAGAGTTATTAACTGAGACGGGAAGAGAAGGAGGAGCGATCATTTGTGGTTACTTGGTGCCAGACATCATATCCTCACATGACAAACACACCAAAACAAAATCCCGCTGCGGTCTGTGAGCTGCTGCCGTTTCATCTCTTCCTGTTTGATCCGTTCCTCCTTCACGTTCTCGGGTTTGAGCTTCAGTCGGTCTCCGCTGATATGAAAGGAGCACCGAGGGTCTTTCTCAGGAAACACCGGCTTCATTTTAAAAGGCAACGTGTCTCTACAAATTAGCATGAGCATTTTATTAGCATTAAGGAGCATAATTACAAATAATTTCTGTCTGGGGAAGCAGGGCGGACCGAGGCTTGTTCTCACGCTGCTGCGGTCCAGAGGACATCGTAAAAATCGTTTTGAGGTTTTGTAGATCTCAGTGAGAAAGCTGAGAGCGGACTTTGTGTATTTGCCTCATATCCATTTCATTATCACGGCCACTAATAGAAAGGTACTTCATGGAGAGTGCAGTGAGTCAATACAAACTGACTTACAGGCCCAGAGAGGGGAGGGTGAGATGCTGGAGCCATAAAGCAGCCGAGGAGGATGGCATACGGGATGTTTCTGCTTTATCTCTCTCTGTCTGTGGAGGTAATTTCATTACTGTCCATTGACACATGAAATGAAAAGCAGCTCTGCTCTGCTGCCTGTGAGCGTTTCAGCCTCACACACTGTGTGCAGCTGGCTGGACGACCTCAGAGGAAGGAGGTTAACCCCGGCCCTCGCCGTAACACCCGCGGCTCGGTGTGTCCGGTCACCTCTCGGATCCGGATACGAGCAGCTTCTGGGCCGAATGCCAGGAAAGTTTTTTGTAGCATCACAACCCCAAATTTCTACTTTTACATGAGGAACATGAAAATGAGCAGATTGTTATGACTGCGTTGGAGAGACGTGCTTTAGTGCTGGGTCCAGTCTTGGAGGCCCTGCTGTACATTTGGTGAATTGAAAGGCGCTCAAAGCGTCGTTAAATACATAAAAGTAAAACTCCAACCTTTCTGTGAGCAGCTCCACGTAGCAGCCATTGTGTGAGTCGCTCAGTTTATGAGGTGTGTCTGCCATCTTGAAAATATGATGGGACTAAGTGCTGCTGGCCGTGTGGTGTGAAAAGAAAAACCTTAAAAACCTCAGCAGCCTTCTCGCTGGTCTGAGCCGCTTCATGCAGGAACTACTTTTTCTCTGCGTCGTCTTCCTGCGCAGTGATACGTGGAGCCGTCACAAAACTGTCCCTATATTTTTGGCACCACAGGCAGAGATCCCTCACTGTTATCTTAGCTTGAACTGTCCCCTGAATGCTGTGAGCCTTCCTTGAGATTTGAAATTTTCCGAGCTCCTCATCCTCCCAGCGGGATGAAGCTCGTTACTTCTAAAGAGATCTGTTTGTCTAAATGCTGGTGGCAGCAGTTTCGTGTAAGTGGGATATGGACACAACGTTTCACATTTACACTGCAGTTTCGTCTTCGGCGCTTCGCCGTCCACACCAACGCCCTCCT